TGGATACTGATTCAGGGCGGAAGAGTGCCGTTAGAAGGGAGTCCATCAGGTTGATGGCTACATTAGCTAGATTTCATCAGGGTCTAATTGTTCCATATCTAAGTAAGATGGTTGCTACCATTGTTAAGAGACTAAAGGACCCAGACTCGGTTGTGAGGGATACTTGTCATGAAACAATGGGTGTTTTGGCTTCAAAATTGAGTGATCACGAAGTTGATAATAATGGGGTTTTTATTATGTTGGTGAAGCCACTTTTTGAAGCATTAGGTGAACAAAATAAGCTTTGGCAATCAGGCTCAGCTTTGTGCTTGGCAAGGGTCATCGACAATACCCATGATCCTCCAGCTTCAATTTTGCAGCGGATGTTGAATCGGACTACAAAATTGCTCAAGAATCCACACTTATTGGCAAAATCATCAGTAATTGAGTTAAACAGAAGCATTATTCAGGTCAGTTTTAGGTTGGATGTGTAAGAAATGACACATAAGTTGCTGGCAATTCATGGAGTTGGTTTTATATGTTTCTCCTTCATTATCAATGTTTTCTGCTGATTGTTTGCTTAATTTATGGTAAAACATGCATTTAATTGTTCATTCCATGCTGGGGGTGCTACAACACAAAGTCTTCTAGCTGCAGCGATGGCTAGCATTCAAGATGCTCTTAAAAACAGTGACTGGACAACACGTAAAGCTGCTTCTATAGCATTGGGAGAGATTGCTTCTAGTGGGGCATCTTATTTGGGATCTTTCAGGGCTTCCAGCATCCGTTCCCTTGAGTCATGTCGTTTTGACTAGGTTAGAGTTTGTTAGGGTCCTTAGGGATTTTGACTCTAGAGGTTTTGCTTATGAATGGTTGTACCATATTATTTGGTGCTTGTCTCTTATAGGTCAAACCAGTTAGGGACACAGGACTGCATGCCCTTCAATACTGGAGAAGCGTTCCTGGGCCTGATAAATCTGAACCTTCTGAGGCAGGATCTTATGTACAAGGTTTAGGCTGGTGCTCTTTACTCTTATTTTGTACTCAACCCTTTGAAATTTGTTTCACATATCAGGTTTAGTTTTGGTGGCATTTGATTGTAATAAATCTTTCCTCATTAAATAGTTTCTGTAGCCGGATTAGAAATCTTATTTGGACTGAATATGATATGGTGACATTTTGTTTACCTCATTAGTCTCTTCCCTCTTCTTAATGCTCCTATTTGTTTATTTATACTTTCTGCAGAAAACTTCTGTGGAGGTGATTACAGTGATATCACCAGTAACAATGACTCTGGTTGGAAAGATGTCTCGAAGAAGAAAGTTACTATAAACTCAGCTATAAGAAGGGTGCCTGTCTGCTAGAAAGATGTCTCAGAATTATTTTCAAGACCCTCAACATTGCAAAGATGATGATTGGCATGTTGAAATTTCTGTTTCAGAGAAGCATAATGTTTCTTTACCAGATGTTCAGAATGAAGAATCTGAAGGGAGTACTGTCACCAAGATATTGGATAGATTGATGCCTGGCACTACAAGTTCACAAGATATAGGATATGAGTTTGTCCCGTGGATGAAAAACAAGAATGTTCTTCGGTGTCCAACCTTCTTAGTGATAACTTTGGGCCTAAGTTTGTAACTGTTTCTCGTGACCATATTACCGTGGGACAATGGCAGAAGTCCATGGGACGAAACCAGAGGATTGCGGGTGAAGAAATTAGTAATGAGGAGGAAGATGATGTGTGCTCTGGAAAAATTAGGGACTGCAGAAGTCTTGATTCAGCAGTCAATGAATCAAGTCCAGAAACCGTCTCGAAATTTTGTTCACGGATTGAGAATAATATTGTTGGCATTCAGAAACAACTTTTGGAGATTGACAGCAAGCAGTCCAACTTGATGGATCTTCTCCAGGTAAATCTCAATAGCTAAATGATATGCTTGTAATACTTTATGCATTCTAATACCATTCTAAGCCATAGGATGACCTTACGGTGCTGAGGGTTTTTGTGCATACAACCAAAATAAGATAAACAAAGATACCCACTGATATTGTCTCATACTATTCTGTCCTCGTTAATCCTAGGCACCAGGGAAAACTGAGTGATATATCTTATTTTCTTGATGTGTTTGAGTGTTTCGATTTTCTATTTTTACCTTTGAAAAAGTATTCTTCGAGTAATTGCTTGACAGCCAATATTAACTGTTTTCTTTCCAATAATGAATTATATTTTCTTTTAGGTATTTTCAACTGGTATAATGGATAGCATGTCCATGATACAGTCGAAGGTCTTAAGTTTAGAAAATGTTGTAGAACAAATGGTGCAAGACCTCCTGCAGAGAGGGAAGCATCCTGATTTAATGAATTCCAGACTTGAGAAGCAGTGCGCTGGTGCTTCATTTTCGAGGGTGCCTTCTTGTACTCCAAGGCCTTCTGTAGATATTTATAACAGACAATCTTCTTTGCTGTCAGTGAAGAATTCTGATGTTTGGGAGGAAAAAGTACTTGGTCCAAACAAGTCACCCAATTGTGCGAAGCAAGGTATGCAGATAAGGACTAATCATACTGTAAAATCTTGTAGAAATTCTACAGAGAATGATGTGCCCAAAAGCTCTAAGCAAAGTATGCAGATAAGGACTAATCATACTGTAAAGTCTTGTAGAAATTCTACAGAGAATGATGTGCCCAAAAGCTCTGGGCAGGGAGCACAAGGCATTGGCCAGATCAGAAAAAATGAAGCTGTCTCTACATGTTCTTCTGTTCCAACTATGAGTGGCAGACAGAAGTATACTGACAACAAAGATGGTCTATGGCAACATGTGAAAAGTCTTCTATGCCAAGGTGACTTAGACTCTGCATATGCAAAAGCTCTCTCTTCTGGTGATGAACTTGTCCTCGTTGAGCTTCTTGATAGAACTGGTCCTGTTCTAGAAAGATTATCCCAAAAGAATGTGTGCAGTATTCTCAATACTTTGGCATCGTACCTTCTGGAACAGAGATTTATGAACAGTGTTATTCCATGGTCGCAGCAGGCAAGTTACTGATCATACTTTTAGCCTATTATCAGACTCCCAATATACATGATTTATATATCACAATTTAGGGGATGATAGATTTCTATCTGTTTCCTTGGGATATATAATAGACCCCACAGATATTACCTTTGATATTGGTAAAGATATTCATGCATGTTTCCCGATCAGTATTGCCAAGCACTCTTGTTTTTCCAGTTGATTACCGAAGCGTTGTTAACTGTTACCGAAGCGTTGTTAACTGTGTCTGGTTGTCAAGGCTGAGGACTTGATGTTCATTTTTTTTCTATTCTCTCTAAATTTCCATCATTTTATTAGTTGTGCCTCTAATTTTTTTCGGTGTTTTTCCAGAAATACTATTTGTGGAGCTTCAAACTTCAATTTTAAACAAGTTCCTTCTCTTGGTTTAATATTAAACATATTACCTGACAAAAAATGTCTCTTGGTGTCTCAAACCAATTACAATGAGCTGAGTTACTGTAAGAAATATCATGAACCATCAAAGATGTTAATTTAACAATTGAGAGTTCAAATCAACATACATTGAAAAATCATAAAAGCTGTCTGATAGATAAGTGCTCTAATTCTTTGATATAATTTGAATGGTCTTATCTTGAGCCTAGTGGTTGTTTATCGCTCATTTTTTTTTATATAAAATCCCCATGTTTTCAAACAATAGTTTAACCATCTGTAATCTTTGTTTGTTAGGTGGTTGATTTGAGTGCTATCCATGGACCAAGTCTCCTAATTCCCTCTACTAAAGTGAGAAGGGAGATTTTATCTGCAATTCAGGAGGCAATGAACATGGAGCTTTCTAACCCTGCTGAAAGAAGAACGGTTACTCAGCTGGCAATAATGTTCCACCGAGAATGGGGTAAGGAAATATGATTGCACATGATTTCATTTATCACACTGGCTAATATCATTTACATTGCCAATTGAACTAGTACACCATTTTTTTTCTGCTTTTCTTAACATGAAAATGCCCATAGTTATGAACTTGTTGAACGAAAAATTCAGCATGGATCCAGACCATCGGAAGAAAAGCACTAGGCAGAACACGTTTCGTCTGTTGTCCCGACTGTTTTTGCTGTATAGAGGTCTATACCATGAAGTACTCTAAAATTTATCTGTACAGGTACTTTCTTCCTTTTACTGCAGTATTGCATGCGGACTGTTCGACTTGTTTATTTTTCCTTATGAGCTATTAGTTTGTTAAAGATGCTTCACACTCATTTCTGGTACATGTATATATCCTTTTCCAAAGAGCTAAATTGCCCTTATTGAAATAAAGATTGATTACTAAACGAAAGAGTTTTGTTAGCTATTAGGTTAGGACAAGTGGTAGATGTTAATGCATATGGTATAGAGCCAAACAAATTTATCACTTGATAAAGTGATACAAAGGTCTATTCGTCGATGACTTATGAACCCTAAAGTTCTTTCAAAGGCCTCTACCTTCTAAACCCGATGTCGGACTAGGATTTTTCAAAAACAATGGCCTGAAAGAATTTAATCCATGGCCAAAGATGTGAACCTTTCTTTTTCGTTCTCCTGATCCAGCTGTTGAATCGAGGCCAAACTTGAACTGTTTCTTTCCCTCTAGAGTCTAAACTAACATCTTGACCATTCAGTCTGGGCAGTAATTACAGATATCAATCTCATTAGCTATTATGTTAAAACCATTTTGCTTGCGAAAAAATTGGTGAGCAAAAATATAATAGAACAAAAGAATCATTTATTTCTTGAATTTGATACAAGAAGTTAAGAAAATAAATATAACAATAGGGATAATAATAAAAGAATGTGTGGATGCAAAACTTACTAGTGCAGCAGCAATGCCAGCATAAAGTGACTGGCCATTTGTGACCTGTACCTGCTTACCAATCTTCCCCACCGTTTCCAAAAGGAAAAGGCTTGAAAGGATGGGGCTAATGGGAAAAGATCCAGGCACCATTTAAGAACCAGTCGACACGTTCCACTGGGAATGGCTGAAACCAAACTTTATGCATCTTTAGATAATTTTAGCCACATTTTCAAAGTTATCTTCAGCGTCAGAATCCGAAGGCTCAAAAAGTTTAGTTTCTATGTGAGATTCACTTTGGCTTCTTCTTGCAGGTTGCATTCTTTGTTTGCATCTTTCTTTTTGAGTTGAACTTCTCGTGTGATTTCTCTTTCTCACAGGAGTCCGAGGGGACTTGTTGGGAGTTTTGTCATGGCTGACATCTTCTGTCTGATGTTTCTCGAGAAATTTGACCACTTGGCTCATCACAGGTCGGCCTTTCGGATTTTCGCTGAGGCATAAAAAAGCCAAATGGGCTACCTTCATTGCAGTTCTAGGTGAGTATTGACCTTCCATCTTAGGGTCTAAGATCTTAAAAAGTTTGTTGTTATGGTTCAAGAGTGGTCGAGACCAATCGACCAGGTTTTGTCCTCGGCTAAGCCCCCTCATGTCCATTACTCTTCTCCCAAGTAGCATCTCTAGTAACACTACTCCAAACCCGTAAACATCGTTCATCGCTGTTAAATGGCCTGTTCATTTCAATACTGCAACTCAGTTATATATTTGACACTTCTGACTATGGGGATGGTTTAATCCTCTGGGAAAAAAGCATTTATGTTACAAACCAGTCAAAATATATTCAGGAGCAGCGTAACCGTGTGTTCCCATCACTCGTGTTGAAACATGGGTTTGGTCTCCCATTGGTCCATCCTTTGCGAGTCCGAAATCCGACAGCTTTGCATTGAAGTCCTACATGTTTACATGCATTTTTAGTAATGAATACTTAAGCAAGCCCGTTTAGCAAGTCCAAAATATGGGTCAAACATTCTCGTGTCTGACACTCACAATCAAGTACGGGTTGAAACTAATGAAAGTGAATAACGATGGGAAACGATGAGTAACCTCATCGAGCAAGATGTTGGCCGTCTTGAAGTCGCGGTATATGACGGGTGTTTCGGCACCATGAAGGAAAGCAAGCCCTTTTGCCGCATCTAGAGCAATCTTCATTCTTTTCGACCAAGTCAATGTACAATCAGATCCTAACAACCAGCCATAATGAATAGGGTAAATAACAAAATGCAAAATGCTTTCAACCTTGGCATAATGGAAAACATCTCTGATATATATATATATACATAATGTATATGCCTTTTAGTATATGTTTTCCTAGTTCCCTTCGTTTTTGCTTGAACTTGATGCGAGTATCGATAGGCTTAATCTTTTCTATGTATTTGAGGGGTATGTTTTCATACTCATTCGTATCTGTCAGACTAGGGATGGGCACAAGACCTCAATCTGAAAAAGTTCCGACCAAATCTGACTCTATTGGGTTAGGTTTTTAAAAAAAAATTCAAGTTTATATTAGGGTTGGATTTAAGGTGAAAAATACCCAACTCGACTAAAAATAATGTAATTATATGTTATATATTTAAGTATAATTGTAATAATCTCTCTATATTATATTTTCAATTAGATTCTTATTTTTATTGAATAAAAGTAATATTTTTTATAAATATATTTATTTCGGGTCAGGTTTGGTCGGATTCGGGTTTTATCTCAAAAAGATAGGTTGGGTTGGGTCGGGTGAAATCACCCTAAACTGGGATCGGATAAGATTTCAGGTGGAGGGTGTATATTTTTCAAATCAGGTCAGGTTGGTTAAAAACCTGAGCCAACCCATCCCTAATACAGGCACTCTATACCTAATATTACTAACCAGTCACAAAATTAGAGGAATGACCGTATGCACATTATAAGTGGATGTAAAGACTAGTAATTCTTCGAGGAAGATATGGACATGTACTTAAAATTGTATTCTCTACAACTTACTGCGAAAGAGATGTCTTTCGACGCTCCCACTTGCCATGTATTCATAAACAAGCAACCGTTGGTCATCTTCACAACAATAGCCTATGAGCTTCACAAGATTTGGATGCCTGAGTTGCCCTAAGTAGTTCACTTCAGTCTGCAAACCAAATTTGTGCAAACAATCAGAATCATACTCAAATTCGAATGACAAAGTTCAAAATACCTAAACTTTAAAGTGACTTCACCTGACTTGACCCAACCTGTCTTTTTGAGATAAAACTCGAAACTAGCAATACCCTTTACCCTTTAGAAGACATTCATACCCGAGTTTGAGTAACATAGAACGAAACTTCGAAAAAAAAGTACTCTGACATTCACACCCGAGTCCGAATAACATAAAATGAAACTTTTTCGTAGGTTCTCGTATACTTAAATATAGTAAAAATAAAACAATAACACCTCAGATTAGAAGAATTAGTTTAGAATATGCAATGAGACTCACCAGCCATTCTCTATCCCCTTGGAACCCATCACGATTAAGCTCTTTAACGGCAACTGCTGTATATGGGAAACCAGGCCTCACATTCTCGTCTATGACTCCTTTATAAACGACCCCGAAACCCCCTTCACCGACGATATGGTCTGGCCGGAATTCCTTGGTAGCCAGTTTTGTCTCCTCATATGTGAAGATGCTAACATTGCTGTAACTGGGATTCTGCCGTAGATCTTTGAGATCCTTGACGGATGTCGAAGGAAATACGGTTTGAGTTTGAGTTTCATTTGATCTCTGCGTTGCTGGGATTCTTTCTGTTGGAAATGAAGTGGCATTAACATCAAGTCCTCGGTTCGAAGTTGTTGATTAAAGAAATATTGTACAAGCTAAAGGTCATTCTATCTCTTTACAATATGAAAGCATTCAAGCATGCAACCGATACAATTGTAATCGCAAGTGCTTAATCAAGGCCTTCTGGACATGATAATATTGGAAACATCAAAATTCATCATCGTTCGACAATTCTATACAGTTTACAAACAATAGGTCACACAAGGCACAATCGAATTTCAAACTCTATTCAATCGATTACTTCTCGTAATTCATATAGTTTCCGAAGCATGAAACCGATACGGTCATAAGAGCATTTAAATTAAGCATCGGTGAATATCATCGTTTCGGAACCATCGAAATTAATCCTCCTGGTTCTATTCAATTCTCAAAAGATCAGTTACACAAGGCACAATCAGAAATCATTCAAAGAGTCAGTTCGACAGGTTCAAGATTGTTCAAACCCTAATCAATCGACTAATTCTCTTGATTCATTCAGTTTTCTGCAAAAATATTCCATAACATATCAAAGTTTTCCACGCTGCAACTCTCCAGATGAACAACATTTCACAAATTCAGTTTTCTGCAAAAATATTCCATAACATATTCGAGTTGATGAGTTCTATTTTATAACTCAAACTTCATTTAAAAAAATTTCAAGTTGAGTCTATAAAATTTGAGTCGAGTTTGAATTTCTGTTTAAATTTAACTACTGATATTTATAATATTATGATAATATTTAATTGTAATTTAAATGGTTTTTTATAATCATATACGATACATATACATTTTTCATATTTTTTTGCATATACAATACACATATATCATACAGAATTGATAAACTCGACTCAAACTTGAAAATCAATCCATCAATTATTAAAATTTTTGTGTTATTAAAATTATATTTTATAATTCGACTTGAATTTGAATTTTTTTTATTCGAGTCGAGTTTTTTTCGATCGAATCGAAAAGATCAATTCTTTGAGTCGAATTTTCCTTACTCTCAAAACATGATTGAAACGAACAAATTCACAACAAACGGCCAAAAATTTGAGAAAAAAATTCTAAAAATCCAACAAACATGCAGCATAAGAAACAACCCCAAAACTTCAAATCAGACCCAAACAAACATCAAGAAAGAAAAAAGGGAAATGAAAATGAAACTAACCTGGACTCCTCTTGGGAGATTTGCCATGTTTACGTTGGCACGGCGTTTTCTCAGCGGTGCTACAACAAAGCCCCATTAATCAAAGAAACCCAAACCCTGAAAATCAATCTGAATTCGGATTTTAGCTCCCCAAAGCTTGAATATCGACATATATATGTGTATATATTTCACATGATAATATCATTCTATACATATATATATGGGTTTCTCAGTTGAATCTAAATGAAGAAAAACCTAAAGAGGGGTTAAAATCCGATGCGGGTAAGTTCGCATCACGGATGGGTCGTTGCCAAGGAACTGAACCGATCCAAAGATGGAACCATAAAAAGGAAGAAAAAACATCCAATTAAAAAGAAGAAAGATATCGACAATGGCTTTCGGATCGAATCCACGATTGGATTAACAGTTTCTCTTTTTTCTCTTTGGGGATTTTTTTTTCAGAGGCGTTGCCGCCATTGACGGCGAGCGATGCGCAGTTTACTCGTTCCAATCGAATGCGCGGGAGAATTTTTTAGTCCAGTTTTATCCATTTTTTTAGGATTTTAGATAAAATTTTCTTGTTTTAGGAAATGGGTAAAGTACACAAATAGTTTTATGACTATAGAGAGTTGTTGTTTTATCAAGTATCTTAATTATGAAAAGATATAAAGTGGTCCATCAACTATAGGGTGATGCTTAGGAATGTTAATTTAACTCAAATCCGATGGGTTTTGATCGACTCGACCTGATAGAGTCGATTTTTTTTAAATTGGGTTTGAGTCAGATCAGATTTTTTAAGGGGTGAGGTCGGGTCGGGTCGAGTCAGGTTCGGGTTGAGGGTAAAAAAACTTCGACACGATCCAACTCGAGGATAATAATGTAATTTTCTTAAAAAAATTATTATTATTTTAGTTAAATCCTTATTTTATATTGGGTCGGGTCGGGTTAGAGTTGGGTGGAAGATATATATATTTTTTAGGTCGGGTTTGGTGGAAGATATACATTTTTTGGGTCGGGTTGACCAAAAACCCGACCCGTTGCCATCCCTAGCTATTTTTTATTGAGTCTGTTGGGTTACTCGATTGACGGAATAGGCCAAGAGGGGGTGAATTGGCAATAAAAATTTCGGTGGAAACTTTTGCAGAAAATTGAAAAATATTTGCACAGCGATTTAGAGTGGTTCGACTTTCTTAACCAAAGTCTACGTCCACTACCTTAGCTATCATCGCTAAGGATTTTCCACAAATTCACTAATTTGTCTTTCTTTTGAGGACAAATAGTAACCTTACAAATCCCTCAAGAATTATATCCCAAATTCTTAATAACACTATCTCCCAAAGAGAACAATACAAATTTTGCAAACTTACAAGAAAATCCTCACAAGGAAAGATGTTTGCACAATTCTAGAACAAAGAAATAACACTCAAGAATAATACAATTGAGCACAATAAGTGTTCTTGAAAGCAAAGATGAATATTGAATGAAATAGGATTGAAAATTCTCAAACTTGAGGTTTGATGCTTTCTCTTTGATTCTTTCTTGATTCTTGTTTCTTGTTGTTTCTTGTGATTGATTAATGTCTTCTAAGCTTGTTTAAATACTCCTTGGATTATTTTTGAACTTTGGGGATTATTAGTGGAGTTAATAGAGTCGTTATTGTGTGAAAACAATTAATAAAAACAGTTCGGAGCGTGTGTGCATCGATACATAGTCAAGGTGCAACGATGCATAGTCAAGGTGCATCGATGCATCAAGTGTAAAATTCAAATATTTAGACCGTTGGAACACTTAGTGCATCGGTGCACTAAGGGTGCATCGATGCATAAAATGCATTCGAAATGGGGTGTGCATCGATGCATCAATGAGTCCATCGGTGCATCCCTTCACAAATTTGATTTTTTGCTCGTTTTTTGTTCGAAATACTTTGTGAAAATTGTTTCAAAAATATTTTAAGTATAAAACATAATTTTACACTTTAGTAAGGATTGAAATTAAACTTTGAAAGACTTGGAGTAATATTTTGATATTCGAATAATTGTATCGAATATACTTAGAAAATCATTTGTAAAATCTTAAAATTCATTTAACTTACTTTGTTATATCGAAACATCAAAATATTTTCAACAGAGTCCTCTAATTATTAAAAGTTACAAAATGGTCACTTGAATATTCATATATTCTAAACCCATATTTTTTTTCGTTACAAATTTGACAAGTTATTTGAGTTGCAAGTCAACCTGTTGACTAGAATATGATAAAATTTGATCTCATAATAGTTTGAGTGGTATTTTGTGGATCCATTCTCTATTTATATTATGTCGTCGAATAAATGTTTAAAACATTATGTGCCGAGTCAATGCTTGAAAGCAACGATGGTGCTAGTATATATCATTAAAATAAGATTTTATCATATCTCGATCGACATGTTAACATTCGGTTCAAGTGATCGTCAATTTCTTAGCAGATAAGGAAGAGTGTGGAACATATGAATAGTCAAATGACTATTTTATAACTTTTAATAATCGATGAACTTAATAAAATAAATCTTATAGTTAGGAAATAATTTTATAACTTTTAATAATAGGAGACTAAGCATGAAATAAGGAGATTATCGGATATATTTAGATTTTAGTTTTCATCTCCCCTTTTTTATCTTTGAAAACATGGATTGATCACCGATGACCGGAGATGTCATATGGGGATAAAAATATTTTAATAAACGTTACTGAATTTTAGGGCACTTGTAATTTGGTCATCAAAATCGAAAAAGTTTTAATTGGAATCAATTTCATTAAGAAAAAAATTTCATCTCGATCACTAAGACATTAAACTATTAACGACGACTAATGTGATATATTTACATGTCAATGATAATATAGTCGGCATGTATACTTGTTAGAGTGATTGAATTTAAAATTTTTCTTAACGATTGTAACTTCAAATAATTTTTTTGATTTCGATGATTAAAGTTAAAATGTTCTAAAAATGCGGTGACTACTAATGTAGTTTGCCTTAATAAAAATTATCTTTCAAGAATTTTAGGTTTAAACATGTATTTATATATTACTAGTTAGATTTTGGTTAAAATATATGTAAATTTTAGTATAAAAGGTATTAAAATTATGGTTTTAAATAAAATTTTATTTAAATATTTTTCTATTTTAGTAAAAATATGTGAAAATTATATTAAATTGAACCATAGCCGGATTTCCAATTAAAATGTCGATATGAGTTCAGATCATGTACAATATTTTTAAATTCAGTTCGAATCAGAGTCAGATTTTATTATTATAATATTATATTAAGTTCAAATAAATTAAAAGTTCTTTCTTATCCGACCTATTGACATACTTGATAATGAAATACTTAGCATAATGAAACATTGTTTGTGAAATTATTTTTTCGACCGACAGTTTATCATATAATAAAACAAACATACATGTAAAATATATTGATTTATAAGGTATGAAAAATAAAAACTAAAAAATAAAATATGCAAATCAAGTTGCTTCATCAACATTGATACACATAACAAAGTGTTTTTTTTAAGGATTATACAAAAATAAGAGTCTAAATTATATTTAAATTTGATTTTTGGTATTCAAAGAATTTTTTGTTAAAAATAGATGTCAAATGTTTTTTCCGTCACACTTTTAGGTGTTTCTTGTTAAAAAAAATGTTAAGTGACATGTTCACGTTTATATTTTTTAAAATAAAAAATATGAACATGACACGTGTCACTTAACAGGTTTTTTTAACAATAGACATCTAAAAGTATAACAGAGAAAACATTAGACACTTATATTAAAAATATGAACATGACATATGTCAACGAGTTTTTTTAACAATAGACATCTAAAAGTATAACAGAGAAAACATTAGACACTTATTTCTAATGAAAAAAATTTAGAAAGTAAAAGTCAACTTTGAGTATAATTTATACACGTATTTTTGTTTTAAGCCTTTTGGGAATAATGAAGTTAAAAGCTAAAACTTAAGCTTTGTGAGGGAAAAGGAGAACCGGAAGACCCTTTGCAGGCATAGGCATGGGATCAACAATGATCTTCTCATCACCCACCAACTTCTTCCATTTAAACCTCCTCACAATGTTATGCATGAACACGAGTATCTCAAGTCGAGCGTATTCCTTCCCGGGGCACGTCCGAGGACCGCCGCCGAACGGAACAAACATGTAGGGTGCCGGACCTTTTCCTTCGAATCTCGTCGGGTCGAACTTTAAAGGTTCTGGAAAGCATTCAGGATTCCTGTGAGTCGAATTCGCACTCCAATACAACTGTACGAATATCGTAAAATGAGTTAAATTTATAATCGAATTCGGATAAACCGAGATTGTATGAATGAAATTAGACATGGGGGACTCACTTTCCAACCCTTTGGGATGGAGAAGCCATTGAAGATGAAATCATTGATGGCTTCCCTAAAGGCACCTTGTAATGGTGGGGCAAGTCTCAGCACCTCACAAGCAACGTTCCATGAATATCTCATCTTTTGAATGTCTTCCCAACTTAATCTTTCACCAGGAGCTTTTGAGTTTGCTATGTCCATTTGTTCTGTAATTCGAAAAAAACGAAATTAAATCATCGATATAAAATCACGATCTATTTTCTTTAATTTAAAATTAACAAGAAAATTTTAATTAAAAATAAAGACCGAATTTAATTTATCTAATTTTAAAATAAAAAATTAATTATATTTAAATCAGTCGAATTCGGATTAAAATTAACTGATGTAATTCTAAAATTATAACTATTTAAGCCGTTCTTGCTGGCTAAATGACACCATATACAAGAAAACGGTGATCGACTAAACAAGAAAGATACGTATACATGCAAATATATATTATAGTACGATATTTGAAAAATGACATTTTTGCTTACTTTGGAAGTATACATCAACTTTGTCCTAAACTTGGGCTTCATCAAGAATTTTAATTTTACGTATATTTAGAATTATTAATGAGTTAAATATATAACTGAGATTAGTTTCTTATTTTTACATCATGTAATTAGATTATATGTATAAAAGAAAATCATATTATTATTTAAAGTTGAGTCAAATTGGAGATTTTTCACCCAAAATTCAATTTCAATCCAATCTCTCTCGTATAAAGTTCGACCAGAACCGAAATTTTTTAAAAAAAGTCAAACGTATCAAGTCGGATTAAAACTCATTAGATTTATATCAAATATAATAGTATCTTATTTCTATTTTTTACTGATGATCTAATTACGTGTCTCTAGAGTTTTATAATTCCGTGTCTTAAATTTTTAATATAACTACCTAAAAATTTATATTTCTACCCTAAAATCATATTAATTAATTAATTGTTGAGTAGGAGAATTTAAGTATTATTATTCAATTTAGGGAGTTGGTGAATGGTGAGTTAATTTCTTGATGTTTTGCATTTTTCTAACAAAACATTTCGTGATAATTAAGATTTTGTTATTTTACACCAAATTAATAAAATAATAATAATAATTACTCGCTTTAGTCAACAAAGTAAAAGTAATGGATTTAAACAAACAAAAAAAATCAAATTCTTGAAAAGATTTGTCATCCGACTTAAGAAGTAAGTCTATCTTTTTCAATGACTTGCATGGCTTTAATTTATTTATTTTATTTCATACCAATTTCTTGACGTTAACAAGGAATTAAATAAATAAGTAAATTATGCATTTAGTATTTAAACTATTAGTTTTGGTCTGTTTTAGTATCTAAACTTTTAGTTTTTTTAAAACCATATCTAACGTTTAGTTTTTGTTTCATTTTAATACCCTGACGTTAAAAACTTAACGCATTTAGTACATAAACTATCAATTTTAGTCCGTTTTAATACTTAAACTTTCAAAAAAAATCAAATTTTAATGTTAAATTTTGAACCGAGATACTAAAATGAAAGAAAAATAAACTTTAAGTATGATTTTGAAAAATCAAAAAGTTTAGATACTAAAACAAATCAAAACTAATAGTTTAGATACTAAACACGTAATTTACCCTAAACAAATTAACTAAGATGACAATGGACGGGTAAGAGTATAGGTATAGGCAGTGTATATTACATATACAAATATAAATTTTTATTCTAAAATTTGAGTAGCATTTTAGATTGAGTGGAGTCTCCTTAAATTTATATTGCATCAGATGACGAATAGAAGATATGATATTCTGATTAAAATCCGACGAGGGTAAGATCGCATCACAGATGTGTCGTTGCCAAGGAACTGAACCGACCCAAAGATGGAACCATAAAAAGGAAGAAAAAAATCCAATTAAAAAGAAGAAAGATATCGACAATGGCTTTCGGATCGAATCCACGATTGGATTAACAGTTTCTCTTTTTTCCCTTTGGGGATTTAGGCGTTGCCGCCATTGACGGCGAGCGAAGCGCGGCGATACGCCGTTTACTCGTTCCAATCTAAATTTGAATGCGCGGGAGAATTTTTTAGTCCAGTTTTATCCATTTTTTTAGGATTTTAGATAAAATTTTCTTGTTTATGAAATGGTTAGAGTACACAAATAGTTTCATGACTATAGAGAGTTGCTTTATCGAGTATCTTAATTATGAAAAGTTATAAAATGGTCCATCAACTATATAGCGATGCTTAGGAATGACAATTTAACTCGAATCAGGTGGGTTTTGATCGACCCGACCTTATAGGGTCGATTTTTTTATTATAAAAATTTGGGTTTGAGTCGGTCAGATTTTTTAAGGGGTGAGGTCAGGTCAAGTTGGGTTCGGGTTGAGGGTAAAAAAATTTCAACCCGATCCAACTCGATGATAATAATGAAATTTTCTTAAAAAATTATTATTTTAATTAAATCATTATTTTATATTGGGTCGGGTTGGATTTATACTCTAAAAATTTTGGTCGGTTAGAGTCGGGTGGAGGACATATATCTTTCGGGTCGGGTCGGTTGGGTTGGGTGGAGGATATAAAATTTTTGGGTCGGGTCGGGTTGACCAAAAACCCGACCCGTTGCCATCCCTAGCAAGTTTTTATTGAGTCCTCTGATTATTAAAAGTTACAAAATGGTCACTCGAATATTCATATGTTCTAAACTCATATTTTTCGTTAAAAATTTGACGGGTCATTTGAGTTGCACATCAACCTGTTGACTAGAATATGATAAAATTTACCTTAGAATAGTTTGAGCGGTATTTTTTGGATCCATTCTCTATTTATATTATGTCGTCGAATAAATGTTTGAAACATTATGTGTCGAGTCAATGCTTGAAAGCAACAATGGTGTTAGTATACATAATTAAAATATGATCTTATCATATCTCAATCGACATGTTAACATTCAGTTCAAGTGATCGTCAATTTCTTAGCGGATAAGGAAGATTTTGGAATATATGAATAGTCAAATGATTATTTTGTAACTTTTAATAATCGATGAAATCAATCAAATAAATCTTATAGTTAGGAAATAATTTTATAACTTTTAATAATAGGAGTGTAAGCATGAAATGAAATTAATCGGATATATTTAGATTTTAGTTTTCATCTCCCCTTTTTTATCTTTGAAAACATGGATTGATCGCCGATGACCGAGATGTCATATGGGGTCGAAAAATATTTTAATAAACGTCACCGAAATTTAGGGCACTTGTAATTTGGTCATCAAAATCGAAAAAGTTTTAATTGGAATCAATTTCTTTAAGAAAAAAATTTCATCTCGATCACTAAGACATTAAACTATTAACGACGACTAATGTGATATATTTACATGTCAATGATAATTGAGTCGGCATGTATACTTGTTAGAGTGATTGAATTTAAAATTTTTCTTAACGATTGTAACTTCAAATAAATTTTTTGATTTCGATGATTAAAGTTAAAATGTTCTAAAAAACGCGGTGACTACTATTGTAGTTTTCCTTAATAAAAATTATCTTTCAAGAATTTTAGGTTTAAACATGTATTTATATATTACTAGTTAGATTTTGGTTAAAATATATGTAAATTTTAGTATGAAAGGTATTAAAATTATGGTTTTAAATTAAATTTTATTTAAATATTTTTTCTATTTTAGTAAAAATATGTGAAAATTATATTAAATTGAACCATAGTCGGATTTCCAATTAAAATGTCGATACGAGTTCAGATCATGTACAATGTTTTTAAATTCAGATCGAATCAGAGTCAGGTTTTGTTATTATAATATTATATCAAGTTCAAAAAAATTAAAAGTTCTTTCTTATCCAACCTATTGACATCCTTGATAATGAAATACTTAGCATGATGAAACATTGTTTGTGAAATTATTTTTTCGACCGACAGTTTATCATATAATAAAATAAACATACATGTAAAATATATTGATTTATAAGGTATGAAAAATAAAAACTAAAAAAAATAAAATATGCAAATCAAGTTGCTTAATAAACATTGATAAACAGAACATTAAATCATATTGATTTAATACATTATAAAATATATTGATTTTTAAGGATTATACAAAAACAAGAGTCTAAATTATATTCAAAATTGATTTTTGGTATTCAAAGAATTTTTTTGTTAAAAATAGATGTCAAATGTTTTTTTCGTCAATCTTTTAGGTGCTTCCTGTTAATAAAAACGTTAAGTGATATGTTCACGTTTATATTTTTTAAAATAAAAAATATGAACATGACATGTGTCACTTAACAGATTTTTTTTTAACAGTAGACATCTAAAAGTATATCAGAGAAAACATTAGACACATATTTCTAATGAAAAATTCTTTGGACAGTAAAAGTCAACTTTGAGTATATATTTTTATTTTAAGCCTTTTGGGAATAATGAAGTTAAAAGCTAAAACTTAAGCTTTGTGAGGGAAAAGGAGAACCGGAAGACCCTTTGCAGGCATAGGCATGGGATTAACAATGATCTTCTCATCACCCACCAACTTCTTCCATTTAAACCTCCTCACAATGTTATGCATGAACACGAGTATCTCAAGTCGAGCGTATTCCTTCCCGGGGCACGTCCGAGGACCGCCGCCGAACGGAACAAACGTGTAGGGTGCCGGACCTTTTCCTTCGAATCTCGTCGGGTCGAACTTTAACGGTTCTGGAAAGCATTCAGGATTCCTGTGAGTCGAATTCGCACTCCAATACAACTGTACGAGTATCGTAAAATGGGTTAAATTTATAATCGAATTCGGATAAACCGAGATTGTATGAATAAAATTAGACATGGGGGACTCACTTTCCAACCCTTTGGGATGGAGAAGCCATTGAAGATGAAATCATTGATGGCTTCCCTAAAGGCACCTTGTAATGGTGGGGCAAGTCTCAGCACCTCACAAGCAACGTTCCATGAATATCTCATCTTTTGAATGTCTTCCCAACTTAATCTTTCACCAGGAGCTTTTGAGTTTGCTATGTCCATTTGTTCTGTAATTCGAAAAAAACTAAATTAAATCATCGATATAAAATCACTATCTATTTTCTTTAATTTAAAATTAACAAGAAAATTTTAATTAAAAATAAAGGTCGAGAAATTTTAAATTCAAATATAATAGTATCTTATTTCTATTTTTTACTGATGATCTAATTACGTGTCTCTAGAGTTTTATAATTTTGTGTCTTAAATTTTTAATATAACTACCTAAACATTTATATTTCTAACATAAATTCAAATGTTCTCTTATTAATTAATTAATTAATTGTTGAGTAGGAGAATTGAAGTATTATTATTCAATTTAGGGAGTTGGTGAATGGTGAGTTAATTTCTTGATATTTTGCATTTTTCTAACAAAACATTTCGTGATAATTAAGACTTTGTTTTTTTACACCAAATTAATAAAATAATAATAAAAATTATTCACTTTAGTCAACAAAGTAAAAGTAATGGATTTAAACAAAAAAAAAATCAAATTCTTGAAAAGATTTGTCATCTGACTTAAGAAGTAAGTCTATCTTTTTCAATGACTTGCATGGCTTTAATTTATTTATTTTATTTCATGCCAATTTCTTGACGTTAACAAGGAATTAAATAAATAAGTAAATTATGCATTTAGTATTTAAACTATTAGTTTTGGTCTGTTTTAGTATCTAAACTTTTAGTTTTTTTAAAACCATATCTAACGTTTAGTTTTTGTTTCATTTTAATACCCTGACGTTAAAAACTTAACGCATTTAGTACATAAACTATCAATTTTAGTCCGTTTTAATACTTAAACTTTCAAAAAAAAATCAAATTTTAATGTTAAATTTTGAACCGAGGTACTAAAATGAAAGAAAAAATAAACTTTAAGTATGATTTTGAAAAATCAAAAAGTTTAGATACTAAAACAAATCAAAACTAATAGTTTATATACTAAACACATAATTTACCCTAAATAAATTAACTAAGATGACAACGGACGGGTACGAGTATAGGTATAGGCAGTGTATATTACATAAACAAATATAAATTTTTATTCTAAAATTTGAGTAGAATTTTAGATTGAGTGGAGTCTCCTTAAATTTATATTGCATCAGGTGACGAATAGAAGATATAATATTCTGATTAAATTAGAATAGATGAAAAACCCAATTCGACCTATGATTATCCTATTTATATCCTATTAAATTATTTTAATATTTTCAATTTAATCCATTTATAAGCTAATTTATTATTTTACAAAAATTAGTTACTAATAAATTTATTTAAAATTTATCAACAATGTCCATTCAAGATTATAGTAAATAATTACGTTTATCTATTTATATTAAGTAAATTTTCTTAGTTTTATACAAATTTAGGATTGTTGGATGAGTGAAAATAAACGATTTAGATTAATTTATTCTTTTTCAGTGAATATATTATCATTTATTATTATTGTTAATTTAATCATTTATTCTCACTCATTATATTGTTTTATATATGTGTAAAATTAAAATATTTTATGTTATGTATTTGGATTATATTTCATAAATTATATATATAATTAAAAATTATATATTTGATAACCAAAATAATATGTATTTTAATGTTTTAATTACTTAAAGTATACTTATTTTAATTTTTAATAATAATGATAATAATAGAGGAAAAATAATAATACCTTTGTAAACCAGTTCATATATGTGAGGAAGCTCCTCGAGATATTTAACGATGAAAGTGCAAGTAGCACTGGCAGTATCATGGCCGCCGATCAACAACCCGAGAATCTTGTTGGCGATATCCATCTCCGTCATGAATTGGCCGTCCTCGTCGGTCGTCAACAACATGTGCGATAATATATCTTGCGTCGGCGACGCCTTGCCGTCTGCGAGATCGACTTTCCTTTGCTTGATGATCTTCAAGAGCTCTCTCCGGATGAAATTCGACGCCTTAATGGCTCTGTTAAACGGCGTTCCAGGAAGGTCAATTGGCAGCGAAATGATTCCGGCAGCTAATAACTGGAACGGCGCTTCGAATTTCGAAACGTGGCTCGGATCCTCGATGCTCAAAAACAGCCGGCAGGCGATGAGGAAAGTGTATTTCTTCGCTAACGGGAAGACGAGTACTCGGTCTTCGTTCTCCCATTGCGAAGCGAAGTGTGCGTCCGCGATGGCGTCCATTATTCCGATGTACCTCATCAGCGCCTCCGGCTTCAAGAACTGCGGGAGGAGTTTCCTCATCTTCTTCGATTCCTCCTTCAACGATGTTTGCAACGACGAGGGGAAGATTTTATCGACGGAGCTCGGCCACCACGCCGTCACGAGCTTATCCTCGTTGGAGAACAGAAACTAATTTCCCGCCGCGCCGCAGAGGACGGCGGCGGGTTCGCCGAGGATGCTGGTTTTGAAGATTTGGGATGAGTATTTGGCCATGCGATCGAATATGAATTTCTCCGGGTGGCCTTTCCATCCGGTGGAGAGGAACTCTAGAGTCTCACCGATGAACGGCAAGCCGTGGCGGCCGGGAGGGAGGTTTCCAGCGGAATAATTGGAGCGGTTCTTATAGAAAAGGACGAAGAAGGAGAGGGTTACGAAGGAGACGAAGAGTAGCAAAAGGGTGATGTAGAAATGCGCCATGCTTTGCCCTATTGATGGAAGTCCTTTGGGTGTTTGTGTGGGAAGTTTGCAAAGAAAATGGGAGAATTTATAATGTGTGTCCCTTCACCTCTTGCTATTTTTTTAAGTAAGTGATACTTTTATTTAAATCCCTTAACTATTAAAAGTTATATAATTGTCATTCGATTATTCATTATGTTACAAACTCGTCATTTTTTATTAAAATACTTATGCTATTCTGAGTTGAACGTTAACTTGCTGACTGCGATATGATAAAATATGATCTTAGAATCTCAAACGACTATCATATTTCAATTATCATGTTAACATCCAACTTAAACAACCGTCAATTTTTTAACAGAAAATTATGAGTATAAACCATAATGAATAATCAGGTTACAATTTTATAAAATTTAATAGTCAAAATACTTAATAAAATAATACACTTTAGTCAAAGAATTATTTGTATAATTTACTCTATTTTTAATACAATATTTATATTACACGATTTTTCGTCATAAAATAAAAGACGTTGTGTATTCAATTTTATGTCTCATTGTATTACATATAAGAATGATAATATTTTATATGAATAAAGTTATCTCAATCAAAAGATAAAATATTATACTCTTCAAAGATAAATTTGTGTAATATTGTTCGCATGATGTGACGTTATTAATACGTTGAGAAGATTTTAAGTATATATTATCTTAAAATTATTTTAGATTATTTTTTAAAAAACAATGATAATAATTTACTCGAATCAAGTGATTTTAATGGTTAAAGAAATGTTGTTATTCATTAAGGTCTCATGTTCGAGTACGACATCTATAATTATATACTATACTAAAATTATAGTGTTAAATTAAATTTTACTTTAATTTAATAAATTAATGTTTAATTAATTAGTTTTCATTTAGATAAAAATATAATATATGTATATTAAATTGGGTTAGATTTGTCAAAGTTTGATTTTTTTATTCAGCTAAGGTGATTATAAAGTAATATTTGTTCTAAATATTTTCAACTATTTGATGATGAACACTCAATCACGCTGTTGCAGTCATTGGTACTCGAATTCATGACCTCAGAGAACAATAACGATTCCTTTAATCATTAAGGCAAATTGGTTTGTGCATTATTTTTAATTAGTTTTGAGATGAAAAAAAGTATTTTTAAAATTGGATGGGTTTTGTTATATAGTTTTAGGTTTGGACTGACAAAAAAAATCTATCTCTTATATATTTATGAATATCACAATAATATTTCTTTCTATATCTTTAATTAGATATATATTTTATTGAATAAAAAATAAAATTTATTTATATTTATATCATGGGTTGAATATATATATATAGGGATGGGCAAGGGACCCGAACTCGACCGGTTTCGACCTGACCCGACCCGATCCGATCGGTTTTTTTTAAGATACGGGTCGAGTTAGGTTTTTTAAAGGTGATGTTCAGGTCGAGTTGGATTCGGGTTTATGATGAAAATACCGGAACCCAACCCGACCCAAAAAAAATTACCTTTTATATTTATGAATATTTACCTTATATATTTATGAATAATTACAATAATACCCCTCTATATATTATTTTTTTCAATTAAATCACTATTTTTATCGAATAAAAATAATATTTTTTATTATTTCAGGTCGGGTAAAGGATTTTATCTCAAAAAGTTGGTTCGGGTTCAAATCGGGTGAATGGTATATATTTTTCGGGTCGGATTTGGTGAATTATGTAAAGTTTGCGGGTCGGGTCGGGTTGATCGAAACCCGACCCATGCCCATCAATATATATATATATATATATATATATATATATATATATATATATGGGGTTGAATAGTTTAACGGGTTAAAAGATAAAAGAATATAAATAAAAAATATAAAAAAATATTTAATTTAAAAATATATAATTTTATTTAATTATAATTTTTTAGTACGTACTGAGCGATCTCATTGATAAATGAATTAATATTATTCTTTGAGGCCCCGAGTTCGAATACCAAGAATGTCAGGGGATGAGCGTTCAGAAGTTATCTTTGAACATATATTGTCTTGTTCTTACCCAAATTAATCGGAAAAATTTCGCTACTTTAGTTTGTGAAGACTGCACTTTATAAGTAAACTTCCTTTATAATTATGTAATATCTGTTATTTATTCTCAATGGCTTTTGGATTCACACACATTGATAAGATACTACTCTCTATAATTTGCTTTAGCTTTTCTATTTTTATTTTACTATTTATTAAAATATATAAAAAGAATAATGAACTTATTATGGTGGACATGTGGCACGTGGAATATTAAATAACTCTACGCTTTGCATGTTTGATATGTTTTATATTTTGCACGAATGAAGAGCCATCGATGAAATTAATATTTCAACAGTTTATAATAAGGATGGATATCGGTAGAATAAAAGTAAAATTTTAGTTGATTTCAAATCGATCTAAAAATTTAAAGATTTTATTCGAATTTAACTCAATTTAACATCATAAGATTTTTTATCCGATTTGAATTTCGATATGGGTCTAATCCCATTCGAAACAAGTAAAAAACTTCTCCATTTTTATTCGAATATACGAGGACAATCGAAAATATCTATATTGAAGTGGTATTATAGTAATTAGCTCTATTTTCCCTCATTTTTATTCATTACAAATAGAAAAGTAATTAAAATGTACCGAGATATTATAAAAAATTAATTCTATATATACGAAGAAAATTTTATTATTATTTTAAATCAGATCGAGGATTTTTCATCGTAAATTCAATCTCGATATGATTTCATGGATCCTCGTAAAATCAAAATTGACCAAACTTAAATCCAATTAAAAATAACTTCTATAAAATCAAATGGAATCAAAACCCATAAGATTCATATAATTTGATCATCTCCTATATATATATATTAATAAAAAATAGTATTTTAACAACTTATATGCATTAAATTAACAAAAATCAATATTTTTCTTAAATTTTCGTACAATATGAGGATAAGCTCTGACAAATTAAAATGCATGAACTAAATTTTTGTTTTTATATAAAGCAGAAAGATAAAAATCTATAATTAGACTGGTGATGGTACATGTTAGAGAATAAGATAAATTACATGATTAGTACCTAAACTATCAGTTTTGATTCATTTTAGTACATAAACTTTCAACTTTTTTCAAAATCATGATTAACTTTAGTTTTGTTTCATTTTAGTACCACGCCATTAAAAACTTTAGTTTTTGTTTCATTTTAGTATCACCGTTCAAAATTTAACGTTAGGTTTTGAAATAATTGAAAGTTTAAGTACTAAGACGGTCTAAGTACTAAGACGGACAAAAACTGATAATTTAGGTTCTAAATGTGTAATTTAACCAAGAAAAGATTAACCAACATCATCACAAAGATAATTATGCAATAAATCATAATTTTAAATAGATTTCATATATATATATATATATATATATATATGGTGTTGTTTGACTTAGAGAATCACAACAAACCAAGGGCTTCACATTGATTTCTTTTGGACACATTTCCTTGTGCTTTCCATCCCCAAACGTTAAACATGCAAAGCACTAACAGCGGCACAACTTTTTGTTGTCTCTTTATTAGTAACATTTTATTCATACGCATTGTTGGCATATATATATATATATATATATATATATATATATATTATTCATATTTGATTTATTGATCGTCTGCATAAGAAATCTAATATCTTATCCTATTAAACTAACTAGTAATTAGTATATATAACTTTCTATACAAGATCTAAACTATTGAGAATTTTTCAGGCCCTCGAATTAGGATTATAAACGAGCCGAGTCAAGTTTAAATATTGTTGAGCTCGGTTCAATTCGAAAGTTCACGAACTTAAAATTATCGAGCCCGACTCGAATTCGAAATCAAAAACTGGAATTCGAATCATACTCAAAAAACTTAAATACGAAATATTCTCAAACTTACCATGATTCAACATTTTAAACACTCATAAATTCATGTGAAATATTTGTAGATTTGACAAGGTCATCAACAGTGTGTTTACTTTGTGTAACGAAGCAATTGCTCGAACTAACTTTAACTGATTTTTCAAAATACTTTTTCAACAATGTTTATTTATCTATTTATTAAAAAAAGGGGAGTCTTTTAGTCAATTTGTTTAGGACTCATTCTTATATAAAGTTACCTAACAAAGTAACCCACCAATTATCATTGCTCAAAGTGGTTTCTCCTAAACTATCAGTTTTAGTCTGTTTTAGTACCTAAACTATTATTTTTTTTTCAAAATCATGCCTAACGTTTAATTTTCATTTCATTTCAGTATATCATCGTTAAAAACTTAACATGTTTAGTACCTAAACTATTAGTTTTGGTCTTTTCATTTCATTTCAGTATATCATCGTTAAAAACTTAACATGTTTAGTACCTAAACTATTAGTTTTGGTCCGTTTTAGTACCTAAACTTTCAATTTTCCAGTATTTGACGTTAAATTTTAAACGGGGTACTAAAATGAAACAAAAACTAAAGTTTTTAACGGCGGGATACTAAAATGAAACAAAAATTAGGTATTATTTTGAAAAAAATTAAAGAGTAAGTACTAAAATGAACCAAAACTAATAGTTTAGATACTAAACGTGTAATTTAACCATATTTTTTCTATTAATTATTATTATTTGATTTACTAAACTATTAATTTAGATCGGGTACCGTAGAACCTCACTACGGGTGATCCTCCCAACCCATTTTATTTTATTATAATGTAAAGATCCAAAAACTCTTATCTTGTTTAAGAGATCTATCTCATCCCACTAGATTAACAGATGGTTATCAATACTGATTAAATATTTATTTACATTAACCACTAATATTCAATCTATTAACCGATCTACTCTAATCGAGTAATACAAAAGTATATTATGAGAGTGATCGGCCCTCCTAACCTAGCTTGTTTCATTCACGACATTAAGATTTATATCTCTGTTATTATTTAAGAATTCTAGTGTCTCATTCCGCTGAATTGACTGATTGTTTGTTAGTTATTATTATTTTG